ATAATATAAATTGATAATGTGACTTGATACAAACGATTTTTTTAATATATAAAACAAATATTAAAGAGCGAAAAGAGATATTTAATTTATTCTTTTTAGCAAGGTGTTTGCTGCTTCTTGACATGCTTGTTTAAGCCAATAGATAAAGATAAATTTGATGTCATCATGCATATAAAATGCATGCATCATATCGTTATTGGGGGTGAATAGAACGCACATTGTCAAAACAATATATAAATTGACAAGCATTAACCAATAAAGTTGTTAATATTCCTAAAAAAGATCAGATAAAGGAAAACTAAATCTGTGAAGATATCCGTGATTTATCTTTTCGGCCTGCCGTTTTCTCTTGTTCATGACACTTGCCAATCATACAATATATAATGAATGATTTTATGTCTACTCTTTTTTTCTTTTTTGGGTTGTGTTGGTCTGATGAATAGGATAACAAATGGACTTGGAATGATGGTTATGAGAATTTAAATCTATCTATCAAGTATTGTTTAAAAAAAAGATGGAAGTAAAATCTACTTAAATACGAAAATTGTAAGCAAGGAAGCATAGGAATGATCCTTCCTATCTTTATTTGGATCTTCATCCATCTTATCGAACAAAGAAAAGACCTTATTCAATTCATTCAATGTATCAGTCGCTTCTTCCTCTTACAGTTTTTTCAAAAATAATAATATTAATAATAATAATGTATATATATTGCAAAAAGAGAAATTTACTTAAATGTAAAAGATTCTATAAAAATTTTACACAATTCAAACGAGTACAATTTAGTTTTTTTTTTTTTTTTTCACAAAATCGTTGAATTTTAGACTACAAAATGGAATAGTCATCTCCCATTATATAATAGTTTTAAAATTACTGAAATTCAAACCTGTTTTATTAAAACAAGTTACTAGATATACAGCTACTAAGCTATGTTTACTTGGGCTATTTAGTTAAAATTTATTGTTATATATAGCATGTTTATGTTTGATGTACATTAATTGAAGATGTAGGATACGGTATAGCAAAACATATCCAGCAACTACTGCTTATCCACTGGAGTACTAATTAAGCCCTTAACCTTCAAAAACATTTAATATAAAGCATAGTTGTTTTCTAGGTAAACGTCATGTTTCACCAATATCAATCGTGGATCATGCATTCAAAAGACAATTCTAACTTTTTGCCTATTGGACGCGCGGAGTTTGCTTTCTTCTCACTTTTGATTGTTCACATTTGACTGATCATATATGTTAAACTATTAGCATTTTTATTTGAAGAATCTTGACCAGTTAACTATTAATTAGCCTAAAGAATGTGGTCAGCATTAAATGAGGTGTTTTGATTAGGTTAAAATCAATGTCAAATTCTCACTATCCATAAATAACAAATCGTGATTATTTTTTAATAATACTAAATTTGAATTAATTTAATTTAAAAAAATTAATAATCAACTAAAAACTAAATATATTATAAAGCTAACTTAACCTAAAAAATAATAAATATAATTTCGATTAATACGAAATTTGATTCAAAAATACATCACAGTATGTAAACATGAAAAGAAAAAGTTATATTAAGGCAGTTAAATAGCAAAAAGCACAGAATGTACTTTATCGTATCGTTGCCTGTTTATCCATTAGATTAAATCCGTAGGTTACTTGTGTGAGGGCCCATGCAATGGCTAATGGTGCATCATTAAATCTTCTATTTCTTAACCATAGATTTTGTCTTTCTCTAACACAAGAAGTCAGGGCTTCAGACTAATCAAGTTTTGCCCTACTCTGTACTCATCTTTCATCCACGTGGACTAATAAGGGCAAAAATGAACAAATAAGTTCCTGTCTGAAAACACACCGGGTCATCAATTCCAGATAATTGGGAAGGTCAATGATCAAGAGTTAAATCAAGTACTTTACCTTGCTAGGTATGTAGGAATCATTGGATAGCTTAAGCCTTAAGCAACAGCACTACTTGAAAATATTTCAACCCTTGTGTATTCGTATTTTTTTATGATTTATTAAACCATACTGCAAGAATATAATAGCAAAGTTTTTATTATAACTTGAAGAATCAATTTCCAACGCTATAATTTTAATTAGCTAGTTTGAAGATGACGCAACTGCAAATTAAGTTCTTGCAGGGTGACCTTAGCTTAGCACCTTCAGAATAGGAATTGGTCCTGGAAGAGAAAGAGGGTAGAGGTGACAACCTGACATTAACGGATCAACTGAAATAAAGCACCTGCGTCTGTGTGTGAAAGCTTTTACGTCGAAATTGCTTTTCACCATGCATGCGTTTTTCTTTTTCTTCTCTCTACATTTCAAAAGATGATCACCATGGCACGTCACCATAGAGGAGACTGGACAGACAAATAAAGGTAAGAAAGGCTTTCTTTTCCTTTGGTCACCATCGCGGCCACCATGCAGGAGAAATTATCAGCAACTTGAATGCCGCAATCACACTGTAATTAGCTTTTGATCGAGTTATATATAGCACCTCCAATGGATTTTTGAGCTGCACAACACACATTATTGACTCACTTTATATAATTCTTTCACCCTATTAATGATCTAGAGTTTTTTATTCCATGTTTTTCATAATTGATGGACTTTAAAACTCAGCAAAAACTCCTAATTTTAACGAATCTGATCAATTGTCAAAACCCATATAATGAATAAACAAAAAACACACAAAATTAATGTGGATCAGCCTGCCTCTACAAACTACAAATATATGCACAACTTCAATAAAATCTCCTAACACAAAATTTCTCAAAACGAGATTTTCACCATAAATCTTTTGAACTTCCTCTCCATAAGAAGCTTATACTACTTCGGGGTCAAAACTAAACTTCTTATAAACTGCTACTCTTAATTTATAGAGGCTACATACAAATTCTGTTTATAAATAGTAGAAATTAAGAATCCTACACTAAATAAAATAACATAAATATTTTTTTGATCACCGGAATTATTATAGGCAAAGTAATTGGTTTTTGTATGCAATATTAGATCGGAGTAATTGTCGTATCTCTATGAATATTGATGATTATGTCAACTACATCGTGAATAATGAATTAGAATAATGTTTTGATGTGTTTTTGCTTTCGAATCCTCGAAAGAAAGAAAAAAATTTAGGCTGATATATAATTTATTCTTGCCCACACAATAGAGAGGTCTATAAATAATTGACAACACGTCATTGAAAGGAGATATTGCAATTGTCTCAAACATCCACATCGGATCCCACATGGTTGGTTTTTGATTTTTAAATTCCTTCCTGCTGGCCACCAATTAGGGAGAAATTGTTACAAGGACAAAATTATGGATTGTTTTATTAACAGTACTAGTGTACTGCATGGGCTTTTTGCATATAAAAACTAACACTCCAATTATAGGAAATTAATTCTCTTTTTATTTTATAACCACGAGAAACACATCAAAGATTAGGGTGGTGAGATTTTTATTTTTTCAACTGAATATATTATGATTTATAACTAATCATGGTTTTCCAATAGTACTTTGACCAATTAATAGGAAAAACAACTTAATTATTAATTACCGGTCTTATAATAAGAATCGATATTGTCCACATGTTATTTTATTTTATTTTATTTATAAAAGAGAGGTTTGAATTCAAAATCTCTCCAAAAAAAAAATGCTAGTTGAAATACAACTCCTTGGCATGTTGTTCAAAACATTTAGGTGAATTCGGTTTTTGTCAGATTTAAAAAAGAGATGATTTCAATAATATGATAATTTTCTTTTACATGAAAATTAGAATTTATTTTACAAGAACTTTAGGAAGACCGAAAGATCCATTGTAAATTTGAAATTGAAAACCTAGTTTACATATTGTCAATAGATTTTTCCTATTCTATTCAAAAAGATTAATTTGAGTTGAAAGAGTTCTAATTATTTAAATAAATGATTTTAGATTTTAATCCTTATGTATATATATATATATAAAAAAAAATTTAAGTAGCTGTTTCTATCTAGTACGGCTTGATAGAACAACATGAGATTAATTTAAACCTTTGAGCCTGTATTACTCAAAAAAAAAAAAAAAATCTTAATTAAAACATGAACTGCAGCAATATTTTTTACTGAGTTTCGGCTTAACCGTCTGCCCTAAAGCTGAGAGGCCAAAAGTGAGAGAACATTTTTGTTTGTATAGATTTACAAAAATAACCTTAACGTAACATGTGAATTTGTTTTGTTGAACAAGCTATAAAGTAAGTGGGGACCCTATGCATCAGATCATGGAGACAAGTCCTGGATTTTCATAAGCAGAGAAAAGCAGTGATTGATTCTATGATGCTTTGCTTTCTCTCTATGTTAATCTTTATTTCACGTTTTCATATATATATATAAATAAATAAAGGTAGTACTGATAAATAAAAGCAAATAGACACGACAACCACACAAGATTTGTAAATTTGAAACGGCTTAGCTGGGCACTTCAAGTCAAACCAAAACAAAAAGATTTATAGAGCAAGCAGCCAAGCCACAAAAAGCTACCCTCCTCTCATTCTGCTATCTTTATCTTTTCAGATTCTTTTTTCGTACATGACCAAGACTACCCAAAGTTTGAATAATTGATAATCATAAGTATGGTTTTCGTCATATGACCATAATGACCTTAATCAAGAAAAGAGAAAAAAACAATAAAAACCAAAATTGTAGCATCTTGATATAATGTATAAATATTAATCAATATTCTAACTGATTTATTGATAGCAAGAGGGGTAAAAATGGTATCATAGCAGCAGATTATCAAAGGACACTTTTACCTTTTAATTGGTAAGCTTAGTATATAAAAGCTCCTAGGCTCCTAGCTTAAAAGCATCAAATAATTAAAGTGGTCTGAAAATTGCAGGTCATTCTTACTATCTGCCACATCTTTTTCTATTTCTTGGTTTGGTGTCTTTAAGTGGTTCATGGATATTAATCCCTTCTGGATTACTGGGGGGTGGTTAATAATTACTGATTTTAATTTTGATGGCACCAGCTAGAAAATCACCAGTGCGTGAATCCACAACAAAATTACAAGCTATGGTGCTTTTTCTTGGTTTTTTCTTGATTGTTCCTCTCCTTGCTCGTCCCATAGATTTATCCAAGAAATTCATGGCTTCCTCTCCGTCTACAAGAACAAAACATTCTACCACAGAAATACATCCACAAGAATCAAAGTATACACCACCTTCTAGTACCACTGCTGATGCTGCAGCGATGACAAGCAGAACCACCACCACAGTTCCTACCACTCCTGCAGGTTCTGCTTCAGATCAACGGTTTAAAGCAGCTGCCCATGAAGTACCTAGTGGTCCAAATCCTGAATCCAATTAGTTAACAAGGTAAGCGTATGAGGAATCATCATTGATTGTGGCCATTATTGTTTTTATATGATCTTCCTCAAATTTGATCAGCGGAGACATCAATGTGTTTCCAACATCATGATCTTCATTGTCTATTTTGTCCTGGAGAAGTACTAGAATCTTGTGTATATATAGCAAGCGATACTTCATTAGTTTTTGTTCAATTTTGTGTGTGTGAAATGTTGGTGTGCATGGGGTAATTAATACTGTTGGTCTTATGTAAGACATTTTCAGAACAAGAATGGCAGTATATGTGTAGTAAATTATGTAATGCAATATCATTATATGCTCGATCAAGTTCTTCACATGAATATGATTAATACCTGGCTTGGTAGTTTTCTTTCCTTTTCCCCCTTCTCCAACAATTATTCATTAGGGATAGTGGATTTGGTTTTAGTTAGTTCTAATTGACAAATATTCAAAGCCTGGCATGTGAACAATGTAAGTCTTTTTAAATGGATTGCCATGATGAATTTTTAGTGATACAAGTACTTTTGGGTTCTTGAGTAGTTGATCTGATCGGGTAATGATGAAAATTGGGAGAGTTGTGAAATCTTTGCCCACGGGCAGAGAAGAACGGTGTCAGATCTGTCATCGTAGGACACTGCTCAGTACTGTGTACTCTTGTATTTTCTTGTGATATTTTTAATGCCCATGGATTTTTGCATTTGTCTTTTCAAGCACAAAACTCAAGATACCCGACATCAAAAACAGTCGATTGGTTTGATTTGATAATGATAAAAGCAAAAAAACCTGTATAATTGAAGCTTTCGCACATATAATTGTTTGCTATATGACATATTGATATCACCAAATTTTGCAATATAGGTCAACAATGTAAATAGAGTTCACAAAATTATTTTACTTAAGTATTGCTGAATTGATTTAATTTTTCACTTGATTTTAAAATTTTATGGGGGTAAAGAAGAGTTGGATTAAATGAAAACCAACATTCTGAAATAGAATCCTAGTGAAGCAACGTTAAAGGCATTTCTGAAAAAAAATTTCTGACAGAAACCATTAAAAGTTCAGTTAAATATTCACAAGTAAATTAGAAATGGGAAAGTAAAATCACGTTTCTTACTTGCCTGAGATACGCTTGATAGGGATTGGAGAAAACACAAGCTGATCCACTATTTTGGATCGAGCTAGACGATCTAGTGATTGAATGAAATCCCAATTCATTTTTTTTAAATCAGTAAATCGATTGAAAAAAGAAATTGTCAGTAATTTAATTAGAAAGAAATGAATTGAAAATGAAACTGAAACTGGAATTGGAATTCACATGAATTTGAATAAAAAAAGATATATTTTACGCCACATTTGTAATTTAAAAGTTGAAAAAAGGATACTCAGCTAAAAAATGTGGCCATTTTCGGTGGAAACAAACCATATATGTAAAAGCATTTTGTATGCATTCGATTCAAGATACTTTTGCATTTGTTCTATTTGTTTGGGAATATTTCTTAATTTTATTTGTTTGGACGTAGAAAAACTCTTGAAAAACGTGTAATAGAGTCTATTCTTTCTATGATTCACACTTGCGTCAAAGTACAAAATCACGAATTCCTTTTGTTACCCCAACTTATACACCGATTCTCTACTCTAGAACACAGTAAGCTACAACAATATCATTGACAGCAAGACTCCCCCAGCGTAGCAAAAGCTTTAGACTATAAATGTAGGAGCTTCCCTAAAGAGTATAACCCTTATAAAAAATTAGCGTATGCAGCTATCTACGACGAACACACGGTGTTCTTTAGTAAATGGCGAAAGAATAGTTCGCCTTGTGCTCGCCTTGCAGCCGAATAGACTTCTTGTTTACAGTCGGCTGTTTTAAATAAAAGCTCTTCATTTGGTGGACAGTCTTTCGTCAACGATGTGGGAAATCTCTTTAGCAAAATTTAGCTGCTTTACGACTTGTATTCACGATCATCTGGGGCCCATTAGTTATTATCCCTTGTCCAATTTAGAAGTCCTACAAGCAGTAACATTGAATTAGATGAAAAGAGTTTTAATCTTTTAAAATAAATAATTTTGAATTCGAATATTTATAAATAAAAAAAAATTTTAGATAACTATTTTTGCTTTTTACGTCTAACAGAATATATAGAATTATTTTGAATCTTTAGACATGAGATATCCTTGAAAATCAAAAAAATTTAGATGCCCTAAATCCTATTTAGTCTCTCTTGCTAGAGAATGGCTGTCTCAAGATACCCACACACACATATATAAAGGCAATCACCGCATCAAGAAGAAGTGGGTTAATAAATATGATAATACGAGAACAGTCGAAACCCCTAGCTACTACATCAGCGAAGTCAAGGAGTAGAAGTCCGGAACTGGAATGTTTGATTCAATAATGTTAATTCAACTGGGAAAAGATAAATCTGCAAAAGAAATCATTCCTTTGTAATGCTCTTATTTGTCCTTCAGTTGAAAGAAGAGAAATGCCAGATGTTCCTCTACTAGAAGCATTCTAGGGTCCATCTCTTTGCAATCAAGTATAAACTTGAAGGAACTCATGTATGTAATCTTTGCTTCTACCCATCCTCACTTCCATGATTTGTGTTGTAACTAGGAACTGCTATGATTTGTCTCAATTTTGTAAATTTTTGGGCTGGCCTTATAGTGTTGGGTCTTTTTTTTTTTTTTTCCTCCCCCTTTTAAACAAGCTTATATATGTGTGTGTGTTTAGTTATGAAACAATTAGAACATCTGGAAGATGATCCAGAGAGAAACATAGAAATAAAAGGTTGAACCATACCATTGTATGGTTCATTTTCATTTGCTTTTTGTTAATAATATCAATCAATCATCGGCTACCATTTTTTCGCCATTCTATTTGTTCACAGCTATCTAAAACCTTGTGTTTTACCATTTAGGTAGAGAGTACATAGCTTAATAAAATTTGCACTTGGCACTGCAAGGTTCACAATGAGAGAACCCTTCGAAAAAATTGGCGTATGCCGCTATTTGCGGCGAACACACGGTATTCTTTAGTAAAAGGCGAAAGAATAGTTCGCTCTGTGTTCACCGCGCGGCTGCGTGGTTTTGAATAGATATCAACATCTTGCTTATAGCAGCTCTTCTTTCGCTGAAGTTCAATCTTTAGCGATGTGGGATTTCTCTTTTTACGGAACTTGGTAAATAATGGTTTGCTTTGGGGCTACAATCTTGTCTTGGCCCATTTATGATTTGTGTTTTTAGCGTAGATTTTTTTCAAGTCTCTGCCTATTGGGTGCCTATCGATAGGCCCAACATCAAAGAGTTGGGCTATTCTTCTTGAACTTGTGGAGCCTATCTTGTACAGGTGTTAGGTATGGGTTCCGCATGAGGGCAGCTTGTAGTTGTAGCTGTGGCTATGGTTGCATCTATAGCGCTAGAAAAAAATATTTGATAAATATACAGTTGAATTTATTAATATATCTAAAAATTATAAAGTTAATGGTATAAAAAACCATCACGGCAACTGAGAATCTCCAAAATGAAATTTTTTAGTTTCTGGTTATTTTAGCATTGAATTCACATGGACTCAACTTAAAAATTGTTATAACTAAATAGATTGATGTGATTTTTCAGGTCAAAAGTCTCAAAATCAAATTATATTGCGCTATAGTTTTCTTTAATTAAGCTTCTACATAATTATATATAAAAAATAGATAATTATGTATTTTTAGATCGGTTTTTGAATCAACAAAAATTAAATACATCACTTTTCGAACTAAATAAACATCAAAACACATTTAAACTTTAATCAATTACTAGTATGTCATTTAAACCATAGCCTTCTAAACCTAATACAATTAAAAAAATAAGTATAATTAATAATCAGTAAATAATAATAATTTAATCTTAATTTTAACCAAAACAAAACATTTTTTAGACTCTGTCATTTTTCTAGAGGAAAAAATAAAGAAGTATATATACATATTTGTGATGACAAGATCTTGTGCGATGGAAACCATTCTCTCCTTTCCTCTTCCTCTTAAATCATATCTATGTGATGTTCATATATATTCATTACCTAAAAAAAAAAAGTACTGTATCTGTTTGTTATTGTCTTATGCAATATGGATCTCTTTTAATTCTACTTTGCCTTGACCATAGTATTCATTTTCGATTTCGTGCATTTGGCTGTCTCGAGGGATTTAAAAACTGGGATGAGTATGTACGTTTGTCATAGTTGCCTACCGCTTGATGTTTGCAGCTGTCATCGTCGTGGCTCTTGGTCTCATCTTGGAAAGGTTGGTATGGTATTTTTAGCTGTTATTTTCCTCCTCCTATTTTGTTCATGTAATTTTTTTATTTTTTATTTTTTTTTAAGGGTATTTCAGGCCAGCTTTTGCGTCCATGTAATTTTTATTTGCTTGTAAATGAGGGCCCCTCCTTGAGACCATGACACGACAAAACTACTCGAAAGGGGCTGAAGCCCAATAGTTATAAGCACAAGGACCCAGATTAAATCTTAAAGGTCCAGTAATTGACCCAAAATCAATATACACAATGCTTACCTTACACAAATCCAACCCGAAGTGAGAGAGATAGATCTAAATAGAGCTTGTGGAAAACTGGATGATTTTTTCAGTGTACTGCTCCATTAACTAAAAACAAGTTCTGTATATAATTATTACCATGGATCCATTTCTATCATAAAGAAAACTTAAAAAAACTAGGGTGTCGTATATTATATTTTTTAACATTTTGATCCTTGATAATTTTGAAAGTTTTATTTCGATCAATATCTTTATTTACTAATATATTTTGATCCTTGGTGCAAAGAGAAGGAAGGAAAGAAAAGAGAGACTGGAAGAGAGAGAGAGCGTCGGCTAAGTTTATTTAAAGCCACTTTGATTGGCCATACTCCATTATATATATATATATATATATATATTTTTTATTTATTTATTTTGAGAGATGAGTTTATCCATGGTTTCGAGCCATTATATAATTGGAGGAAGTACATCGAGCCAAAAAAGAAGAAAAAAATTCTGATTTGATTATGTATTTTTTTTTCAATGTGCATTAAAATGATTTTTAAGGCTTTTTTTTTTTTTTTTTTGTTGAACAGTCGCCAAGGCTTGATGTGCGGGCATGCACTCACGGCCCCAAGCGCGTTGGCTTGTCTTGGCCACACGAGCCGGTAAGGAGTGAGAGAGCCTGGTCTTTTTTGTTTTTCTCTTTATATATATATATATATATATATATATCATAGAATTAGGTGTGAAAAATATAAAAAAATAAATTGTTATTTTTTTAATTTTACGTACAGTTTGAAGATGATAGAATATGTATGATATTTTTTAAAACTTTAGTTTTAACGTATATATATCTGGTTATATTACTCTTATTGTTTAAAATTTATTTCTTCAATTATTTTTTTCTTATTAAAATTCTCATCAAATAAATTTTTTGATATGAGTTTATTTTTTAATATATAAATTTTGGAATAAAATTTTAGAATATTAATGTTTTATTTTTTAAAAATATATTATTATAATTTATACAATAAATTATTTTTATGCTTTTTAAATGAGTGTTTTATTTTTTAAAATATATTATTATAATTTATAAATTTTGATTATATATATATATATATATATATATATATATATATATAGAGAGAGAGAGAGAGAGAGAGAGAGAGAGAGAGAGAGAGAGAGAGAGCGCTAAAAGTATATTTTAGATAGTTTGACTTATTTTTTAAATTAATAATTAATTAAAAAAATCACAAATTTTATTTGCTTATATATATATATATTTATTCAGAATTTATCGGAACAAATTTTGTTGTAGTTTTTATCTTAATCTATTGACTTCAATAGATTTCATACAATTTATGTTGGGTTTTTAATATATATATATTTTTCTATTTATTCTATATACTACGAATATGTTAAGTATGATATATATATATATATATATATATATATATATATATATATATATATATAATTGTCAAAAATTAACTATATATTTGCACACATAATACCAATTATTTGTTATTTATTTTTTCATATTCTAATTTTTTTTAATAAAATAAGTTAGATAATGTTTTGAAAGAATCTTTCAATTTTTTAAATACAAATTTATATGCTAATATTATTAAATATTTTGTTAATAAACATATATAAATCAAACAATTTTGTTTAATATATAGATTCGATTTACATTAATTAACAAAAATAAAACTTCTATTCGCACTACACCATATGAATCGTTAACTCTACGTATATAATGGTTGTTTGATTGCAGCGTAGCACGAGTATCTAACTAGTATGAACTAAAAAGTAACGTATTAACCAATAAATTTGTTTTTTCTAATGATAAATGAGTTAGTTTCATATGAATTTTTTTTAATCAATATATAGAATTTGAGTTCTAAATTTGTATTTGTTACAAAGAGTTAAATTTTGTCGTTTCCTTCCCGAGCAAGATTAGTTTTATTTTTAAAATGAGATGAGGATATCTGAAAAAAAAAAAAAAATAACCACGTATGAATACCTAATAATTTTTTATTTTATTTCATGTTAAACCTCTCAACCAATAAAAAGAAAATCACGAGAAAGTTCACTGGAAAGAACATTATTCACATTAATTACTAAAATAAAATAGAATCCTAAATTTTTTTGACATAACCTTGAAGAAAAAGGTGATGGTAGAAGGTGAACTTTATATATCTAGACTTCTGGATTCCGCAAAGGTGACCACTCTAACCCTCACTTATTCGCATAGGAAATATTTAACTCGCCATTTGTCAAATTAATGAACCAATGAGTTTCTTTCAAGTTTACAGGAAGAAGAACAGGGCAAGACTAACATGGATGGTACCTTTTCAAGCTTTTCTTGCGGACTTATTTTGGTAAGTTGCATTTGTGGTTTCATAAATCTGTAATTTTTTTTTTTTTACAAATTTTTTTTTAAAAAAAGATACATAGTTTTATCTATTTTTATATAACGAGCTTAATTTTTTTTCCGTTTTTAATTATATTTATTATATGCTTGAATATCATTTAAGTTTTTTATCTTTATTTTGATTAATTTTTTTGACTAAAAATAAAGTTTTTTTATTGAAATGCTTCGAATGATATATATATATATATATATATATATATATATATATATATATATATATATATATGGCATTTCATTGGGAACATTTCTTTTCTTTTTTCCTTTTAAAATTGTTTTATTGTCAACCATGAAAGTTATGCAAGGGAGTGGACCTTTGTTTGTGTGTTTATTTCTAACCCTATAGCACTTGAAATCATAGTTTTAAAACTTCCAGTGGCTTCAACTACCTATATGGTCGAAATTACATACGGCTTTTAAATCATTTTACTTGTTTTTTGTTTATTTGAAATAAAGTCTGTCGGTGGCTTTCCACCTATGTAGTTGGATATGCTTGCGACTTTCAAATCATTTTATATGTTTTTTGTTCTTCTGAAATAACACTCGTTGATGGCTTTTCACCTATGTTGTCAAAGCTGTATAAGGCTTCCAAATAAATTTACATGCTTTATATTTGTTTTAAATGAAACTATCAATTGTTTTCTACCTATGTGATCTAAGTTGTACGTGGCCTTCAAATTATTTTACTTGCTTTCTCGCTCGTCTAAAATACGAGTTGCCAATGGCTTTCTATTTATGTGATGAAATTATCGACGATTTTATAAACTCATGATCCGAAGTCGACGACGCTGTCTAGAAAAAGTATTGTTAATTATGTTTATTTATTTTACGAGTACTTTTAATATCGTTAGGTACCTATTCATAGAATTTTTATATTACTTCATAAGAAGATATATATATATATATATATATATATATATATATATATATATATATATATATTAAAATTAAGACCTTTAGTCTTGAGTTACTATTCCCTTATACCTTTGCACATAAGAAAATAACAATATAAGTATTTTTACTCAAGAATATGTACAAATTAAAATGATTCAGATCCACATCGAGAGTGACCAAAATAGATTTTGTAGAATTGAGAATCCCTTTGTATTGCATCGTAATGTCACGCAAAGATGGTTTTATTAATTTATTACTTATATACGTATTATCTTGTATTTTGCACTTTATCAATGAAATATATTTTTTATTTTTAACAATACACGCACACACATATCCTTCCGTGTTTCTTGGCCTCTGACCTCTGTTAGTGTCAAACAATCAACATAAATTAATTTTGGCCAACATTTTTTATTAGTTTTATTGATTCAAAATTAAAAAAATTATGCTATAGAAAACTTAAAGTATATGTGTTTTTTCTCTCTCATATATTCAAGGTTTTCGTATTCTTTTATTGTAAGAGATTACCGTTGCTAAACTATAAGCTTTTTGATAAGTTTATGTTGTTTTTAGTTATTTTAGTTAAATTTTTATCTAATATAAAATTAAAGAATATATTAGTTTAGTCGAATGCACTCGTTTCGTTCAAGATATTCACATATGCTTGAAACAATGTGAAATAGGACTTGTTACACGTGTAAGTATATAAGCAATGCTTTGCAGCTTAAAAATTAAAAGAACTAATAGCAATAAAAATAAATAATTAAAACGTACAAGAGTTATTGTTATACATGCACACAAGCATTTTGAACGTATCCGTAACTTCAAGCTTTGATATGTTTTTTTCTTGTTTTGCGAGATGCAGAAACAGTACTTCAGCTAAAAAGTTCTCAATACGTTTTCTTCTTTTTGGGAATAAGCAATGCCAGCGCTGTTATAACTTAATTAAATGATTTTGCAATATATGTGAATATCTATAATCTATAAATTACACTAATAAATTAAAATGGATGTAATTTGTGGTTTATCGGATTTGTGTTGTTAGTTTATGTTAGGCCCTGTTTCTAATAAAAAAGAAAAAAGAAAAAGAAAAGGCTAACATAAAGGTCACCATTTGCGAGTAATTTTGAGTAGTCATGGATATAAATGAGCTTTTCTCTTCCTAGTTAATGAAGGTAAGATTGGATCCCTTTCAGCAGAACACAACACGCCTCTTTCTCTTGTAAATCAAATTAATTAAAGATATATGCCCTTTTCAATCAAGGCATGCATCTTGTGTTGATGCTGGCCTTCAGTGTGGCTAGCAAGTTCGGTTTGGAATTCAAACATCTGGGAGACTGTACGTACTTCATCAACCAGACATAAAATAAATGCGAGGGCCATGACCGGTTTGACAAGTTATTGGTCTTTCCGAATCAGAATGATTGAATGTCTAATTCAACCCAAAAAAGAAACAATTATTGAATACATCAGCGATGGAAGCATCAAGCATTTGTTTCATCTTCACAATCGATGAAGATAAGTGGATCATTTTTCTGTATACGATGAGCGCGCAGGAGCTCTAAGTAATTCGAATAATACTCTATAGTGTCGTTTCATTATAAAAATAAAAAATCCACAATAAAAATATAAAAATCAACATAAAAATTTAAAATTGATATTTTCATTATAAGAGGTGGCAGGGGAGAAAAAAATAACAGTGGTAGTGATAAAATAATAAAAATGATAGTAAAATAATAATAATAATAATATATTTTTTAATTTTTTTAGCATCACAACTAATAACGATGGCTGGCGAGAATGAGTGACGATTAAATAATAACAATAGTAATAATTTTTTTATTATCATTGTCGATGATGATAGCAGCATACAGTATGCGATGAGGTAAAAATAGTTAATGTATAAAATATAAAAATAATATATTACTGTTTTGAAAAAAATTACACTTTTTTTATTTTTATTCTCAACTCTCCTCTAACAAAAAGTTTAATTTTAATTTTAATTTTATTCTTTTCAACAAAATATCTATAAGCAAAAATAAAATTTTTATTTTTTTTATCAAACAACATCTATAGATATATTATATGGACAGCTTAATTTATGACGGCTCTCGTGTTCGGATGACACCCGTTGTAATTCATCTCGCGCCGTACGTAACAACAATAGCATTTGACTGACGAGGAAGTTATGAACATAGACTAAACCGAGAGATACGAAACTCCGAACAAGAATATATATAGCTCAAAAGATACAAATATTACATAAGATGTTTAATTATAGATTACAAATTAAGGTTTCATGAAGAAAAACTATAAGGAATCACGACTGACGTACTAGAACATTATGATCAACCATTTTCAGTTCAGAAATACTGAGAAAATAATGACCAGTAAACACCCTCCTACGTAACATATAACAAGTAAAACATCTACTGCATTATATGGATTACGTACCAACTCGTGGCGATAAACAATAACATTTTCTTTTCTTTCTGATGCAGAGCACATTAACGTACTTAAATTTTAGCGGCCACCACCACCCAAACCTCCACCAGCACCTCCTCCAAACCCACCACCTCCACTGCTACCTAGTCCACCACCAACACCACCACCAACTCCAAACCCTCCTCCAACACCACCACCTCCTCCAAATCCTCCCCCGCCACCTGCTCCACCACCTAAACCACCTCCTCCACCGGCTCCACCAGCAAGCCCTCCACCAGCTCCAGCTCCACCTCCAAGTCCACCACCACCACCTAACCCACCTCCTCCACCGGCTCCACCACCAAGCCCTCCACCAGCTCCAGCTCCACCTCCAAGTCCACCATCACCACCTAAACCGCCTCCTCCACCGGCTCCACTACCAAGCCCTCCACCAGCTCCAGCTCCACCACCAAGCCCGCCACCACTTCCTCCACCAGCTCCACCTCCCAGCCCGCCACCACTTCCTCCACCAGCTCCACCACCAAGCCCGCCACCATTTCCTCCACCAGCTCCACCTCCAAGCCCGCCACCATTTCCTCCACCAGCTCCACCACCAAGCCCGCCACCACTTCCTCCACCAGCTCCACCTCCAAGCCCGCCACCATTTCCTCCACCAGCTCCACCTCCAAGCCCGCCACCATTTCCTCCACCAGCTCCACCTCCCAGCCCTCCACCAGCTCCACCTCCAAGCCCTCCACCAGCTCCACCTCCAAGCCCACCACCACCACCTAGCCCTCCACCAGCTCCACCTCCAAGTCCACCACCACCACCTATCCCTCCACCGGCTCCACCGCCACCACCAAGACCTCCACCAGATCCACCACCTAGACCACCTCCAGCACCTCCTCCTAGTCCACCACCACCTCCTACACCGCCACCACCTGCAATACCTCGACCATGTCCAATACCACCACCTAAACCATGGCCATGACCAATGCCACCCCCCAGACCACCACCTTGTCCACCTCCAATGCCACCACCTAGGCCACCACCACCCCCTACGCCTCCTCCAAATCCACCACCCGCACCTCCTCCAATACCGCCACCAAGCACTCCTGCCCCACCTCCTATGCCACCAACACTAAACCCCTTCTTCAACAAATGGGGACGATGAAACAAGTGCTTATCATCTTTGTCACCAGTAGTAATATGATCAGACACAACTAAACCATTCAGAAGAAAAGCACACAAGAGTGCACCCACAAAACAGTGACCGATTACAAGCACCATTTTTCTAGCTTAAACAGATAAAGCCAGCAGAGAATAAAAAAAAAAAAAAGAAGTTAAGCAAGCTAGCAAAGCTAACTCTCTCCGTAGCAGTGCAACAAGAGAGTGTAGAAGCAGTATATATATACATATATAAACAGAAAGAAGAAAAAAGTGGTCTATTATTTTTGTACTGCGTATACTGTGGCAAGGTAGCTCCAGAATAACTCTTACTAACTGTCACGCGTTTACAAGAGTAAATGAGACTCATCAGTTATTCGACAAGAAATTTATTGGTCCAACTGTCCTCTCCAACAACCTGACAGTTTCTGTAATGAATAAGATTTGCTTAGGGTTTTTGACTTGATCAGTGAATTCTTACAGCTTACTGTTATTATTATTATTATTATTTGAAAAAATAGTCAATTTTGACACTAGGGCAGCTTGCTGGCTAATTTTTTTTTCTTTTAAATTTGCAATGTATTATAGTATAAAGGCTAAAACTACTCCATCGGATATACAAAATAGATATAATTATTCAAAATTCTTTTTACGTATATAGATATTTAAATTCAAAACTATTTATTTAAATAATTAGAACATTTTCACTCAAGTTAATCCTTTTGAATGGTTGGCTAATTACTTTAAGTAGCAGTAATATGATCTCAACTAATGATACTTTATGATGCAATTAATGAGCAAACCAAACAGTCACAGTTAGCTCTCTCCCACACGATCAAGAATATTTTTGGCCCAAAATTTTAATCAAGGTTTATATAGTTACATGATCGATGGCGCTGGTAGCTTGTTAGATGGAGGAGATGTAACTATATCATGAGTTCTGTGATCCTGTCAATATCAATTCCATAATTAACAGTTTACGTACGCTACCTAGCTAGCTCATGCACATTAATTCGGTTAATTAACCATACCGGGTTTACATGAAAGTGTAGTTCGCGGCACTCATAATGACATGAAAAGTTTGCTTTTTGTGTAAAAAATAAATAACGTTTATTTGCTTTTTGTCGGATTTTTCTTAAGATATAGGCTTCTGTTCAATTTTATGTGTAGAGTTATGCCGTATTTTTATTGGACTGGAGATGGCTTGAAATTTGTAATATCGTCGAGTCATTGTGAAAGTTAACTCTTTATTAGCAATTGAATTAGTTAAAACATTGAGAAAGTTAACTCTTTGTTAGCAATTTAATTAGTTAAAACATGAACAAGTAAAATGAGATCTTATAGTACTCTGATTACAGTGATTTAAGAGATTTTATGAAAGAGTCGACAAATTCATCTCACTTATGATTATAGGAAAACAAATAAATTGACGGATCGATTAACATCTTTTGCTTTTGCTTTACTCTTAGTGTCACATATTTTCAGAATGTATTGAAAAATTATAAGAAACTACTTCACGAGGACCTCAGGGGAATAGCTTTCTCAAGACTCTTTACTAGTTAATCTTTTTGTCTAGGGCTATGGCTCTCCCCAATTGATCAAAATAATAATAATAAATAACGTTTAAATGATATATATATATATATATATATATATATATATATGATACCATGCATTTGGCATTTAAATAATTATGAGCAAGAAAATGCTTATCCATGCATCCTAATTTGTATCTAAAAACTGGTATTATATCTGTTTCAGGTTCTAAAAGTGATAGAATGAATTGGCTGAATTTGTTGGATTGTATTGATGAGTACGTAGTACTTGAATATACATACACAATATACGATTTACACAATTACAAGGATAATAACTTCGGGTATTCTTTAGTTACAAACTTCTATCTTATTTGTACAACCGATATATATATATATATTGCTAATCCTTAACCTTAACAGCTCTGCTAACTTACATGATTAACAACTAACCGATGATAATCCTTTACCTTAACAGCTTCCCTTAAGTGAATGGCTCTTGTCTGAGAGATGAAGCTTGTCCCTTAAGAACTCTAATCTGTCTCCGTGGAGGGGCTTGGCTATCACATCCGCCAACTCATCATTAAAACTCAAGAACTGCACCTGCAACTGTTTCTTGGGCACGAGATCGTGAACGAAGTGAAAGTCGGTCTCAGTGTTTCGTCCTATCATGAAAAACTGGATTCACTTACAAGTAGGTTGCACCTCTATATATTGTCACACAATATAATTGTTCTTGTCACACAATGTAATTGGTGTCGATGCACTGAACACACCTAACTCATCAAGCAAGGATTTAAGCCAGACTAACTTTGCTGTTACATTAGCCATGGCTCGGTAGAGAAAAGGATTTCTTAAAGGGAGCTTAAGTTTTTTTTTCAAAAAAAAGGCAGTAGCTTTTCTTTGAATGGGGCTGGTTCTTGAGAGAGAGAGAGAGAGAGAGAGAGAGAGAGAGAGAGATATGAAACCAGTAGCGAGAAGAGGAAACAACTATTTTCAACTGGCTAAAAAAAAAAGAAAAAGAAGAAACTGGTTTTAGAGACAAAAGTCAGACGAAGAAAAGAGAGGGAGACAGAGAACAAAAGGGTTTCATTCCGGGACAGTAGGAGGAGGTAGCATTTTTCTCTCTTTTCAAGTCTTTTTCTGGTTTTGAATGGAGATCAAGAGAAAGGCTTAAAGAATCAGTAGAGAGAAGTTCGTTTTCTTTCAAAACAAAGAAGAAATCGAGAGTAGGAGACTGAGAACAAACTGGATAGTTGAGCTCGGACGCCTTCGTTCATCGCTCCTTTTTTTTTTTTTTTGACACTGAAACAGGTATGATATTCATTTAGTTCTCTCGTCCTTTATACTATTACATGGATTTTAGGCTTTCGTAGTCAAGTTTTGGTATTTGATCATTAACATGTAATGCATGTTTTCGAGGGATGTTTTAGTTATTTGGACATCTTCGTAGTTTAGAGCTATAATAAATCACACTAATGGGTTAGTGAGATGATTCATGGTTGTAGCAGAGCTTGTTCAATAGGAACCAAAAGGGGAAGCCATGGCTTTGATAAAGAAAGAGAATAGGGTAGTGGATAAACTAAAAGAAATAATGAATGGTTGGTCCTTCGGGGCGAACAAACCAGAAATGAAATAAAAGCAAGTGTACAGGGGTTGTTGGTGTAAGCATGGAAAAGGAAGGAAACGGATTTGGACAGAAATCACGGCAAAAGGAAAGTTAGTGTTTTGCCTGAATGGAACAATTAGGCCGTTTTAGGGTTTGACACTTTAAATTATTAGGTCATTTCAAGCTGGTAATGATTAATTAATAATCAATTATCACAGTCGGGTCCCTTGTTTGGAATATTGGATTCAAATCGCCAGGATTTTAATCTTAGGGATTGTTTTGGATTTTATCTATTTGGTAGGGCTGTCCTAATCATTTTGGTTTGAATTTTTTAGGGTTTGTTAGCTTATATATGTTTTAAGTTTCATAATTTTTAGAGTTGATTTGATATTTATTTATTTATTTTCTATTATGCTGTCAATTGATTTATTAATGAAGGGCTGTTTTGGAAATTAAATTATTTGGGCATGTTGACGATGTATTTTTGGCTTGGAATTTTTAGAAGAGGTGTATATATATATATTAGGGAGTTTTTTTGTAGAATTTTTTTTTATTTTGATTCCGTTTAATATTTATTTCAATTTTTTTTCCATGTCACGTTTATGGTTGTTTTGCATGTTAATTGTTGAACAAAGATTCATCTTGTTAGTCGTGAGATTGTCAAGCCTCCAAAGTTTCGGAAATGATGACTATCCCATATCGAGTTTGATTTATAATTAGAAATATAATATTTTTTAGGTTAATTAAAAAATTTAAATCGAGCTAACAAGTCTCACATTTAACAAAAATGAATGGTCTTGACCCCTTAATAAAAAAAAAAAAATCAAATATGATAGATATGGACCATTGTCCACACCCCCCACCCCACTATTAGCAAATTAGGTCGTTTCGAAGATGTTGATCATGTCGAATATAATTGAATCCGATACTAAATTGATGATATCTTTGATTTCGGGATCCGACATCAATTTAATACGATTCTATAATAAAAAAATAAAAAAAATAATTTTAGAGATGCTTTTCATCCGCATCCAAATTAAGAATAATTTTAGCAATTATGCCATTTTTTGACATGTCAATCTTATAATGATGTGATTGGATCCAATGCTAAATTGACGAGATTTTTGATTTCGCAATTCGACGTCAATTTAATATGATTCCACGATAAAAAAAAAAACCCAATTTGACCTAGATGATAAACAAACTCATAAATAGATATAGGAAATAATTTGACAAACATAACTTTTAGGATTAGACTAAATTCAATACTTTTTCTTAGAAAATGTGTTTTAGGGTTATTGTTATTTTTTCAAAAACATAATTAATTTCTTATCCAAAATCTCTGAATTTAATGACTTTTTTAAGTTTTTTAGTTATTTCAATATTATGTGACAACTCCAAAAATTTTTAATTCTTAATCCTTAGCCAAATTTTAGAAGTCCCAGATAATTATGAGAGCCATCGTAAAATTAATGTAACGGTAAATGATGAGCTTTTCATAAAACACTCATCTATAAAGTTGAGAGTTCAAATCTCACCTATTGGTGATATATTTACATCTTCATATATAATCGTAATTATAATAAAAAAGACTTTAAATTTTCGCTCTTTTACAGATATAGTAGGATTTTTTAGATAAAAAAATAATATGATGTTAACGTAATGTTTTACATCAGAATTGAATTGGAAGGTGTGTGTACGGAAAAATAGAATGCTGCTCTCTTATTGATTTACTTAGACTAGACCTTTTGCAATAATTTTCGTCCACTGCGATCGTTATCCATTTATCCAAACTTATCCAGGTTTAATGACAAATTTTCTCCCATTCTATACCATTTGGCAATTTCAGGTACTTAATTAGTATCAAATTACATAATTTGAACTCTAAATTATTAGGTTTTGAGCAAAATTGATCCAATTTTTCTAATATTTTTTTTAAAAATGTTTTAAAAATATTTTTAACCATCTAATCTTGAACTTTTTTTAAACTTTTTTTCTTATAAAATGTTGTAAATAATTTATAAATTATGTAAAAAATATTTTATAAATATTTTTAACTCCTAATTTTGAATTTTTTTTAAAATTCTTCTTATAAAATATTATAATTTTTTTTAAATCATAAAATTTGGTATTGTTAGTTATGTTTTTTTACAATATTTTTTTAATAAAATGTTGTAAATATTTTATAAATTATGTAAAAAATATTTTATAAATATTTTTAACTCCTAATTTTGATTTTTTTAAAAAAATTCTTTTATAAAATATTATAATTTTTTTTCAAATCATAAAATTTTGTATTGTTAGTTATGTTTTTTTACAACATTTTTTTTATAAAATGTTTATATTATAAACATTTTATAAACATAATTAACAATACAAAATTTCGTGCTTTTAAAAAAATGTTTTTAAATTAAAATGAACATAATTAAGAGATGACCCTCCTACTTTTATAAATTATGAATTATATAAAAAATTATAATATTATATAGAAAAAAATTTAAAAAAATTCAAAATTAGGAGGTTAAAAATATTTATAAAATATTTTTATGTAATTTATAATATTGTATGAGAATTTTTTTTTAAAAAAATTCAAGATGAGGAAATTAAAAATATTTTTAAAATAATAAAAAAACATAATTAATAGCAAAATACCATAACGAAGTCGTTTTGACAATTCAAATAATAATCAATTATTGACCGTTACATATAATAACATTTGAAAAATTAGATCAATTTTTTTCAAAAAACTAATAATTTGAGATTTAAATTACTAATTTAGCACTAAAGATCGAAATTTTTAAATTACTGTAGAATTGAAGAAAAATTTGTCATTAAAATGAGTTATCCAGCGTGGCAAAAGTCCACACGCTCTTAGCCTTTTCGTCCACGTCACCAATTCCACCTCTGGTTCGGTCCACGTACACCGAACCAATCCCACCTCAGGTTCGGTCCCTGCAAACCTTAGCTTCGGATCCAGCTCAAACTCGCCTCTCGAGTCGACTCTCCCCACTCTCACTCGTTAAAACCTCTTCTTGCTCCCTTAAAATCAGAGAGCCTCAAACTCCTCTTTTTTTTTCTTTTTTTTTATTAATCGCACAAATTATACAATTAAAGGTAATCAAATGATTATTTTATTCCATCACTATTCAGGTTTTTATTTTTTATTTTTTGAATGTTTTGTGTGATAATTCAATTCAGTGACAATGCTTGATCAATGGAGATCGCTATTACACCGAGTCCGTGATCAGTAATAAATCCTTTTTTGATCCGTTTAATTTTTCAAAATTGAGGTCAGTTATTTTCTATTTATTTATTTAGTTTTAATTTCCTTTGAATATGAATTCTATTCAAATCTCGAAATTCAGTGAATTGTGATTTGAATTTGATCGATCAATTTTTTATGTATTTTAATTTAGGTCATTAGCAGTTTTGTTTGGTGATTTTTGAGCTGAAATCATGGCACAGAGTAATTGGGAAGCAGATAAAATGTATGTGATCTGTTATTTCTTCTTTCCTTCTTGGTATTTTATTGTTTGGTCTTTTATTTTTGTTAATAATTAGGTTTTTTTGTGAGTTTTTTTTTTTTTTTTTAATTGGCTGCGTTTGGTAGGCTTGATGTGTACATATATGATTATTTGGTGAAGAAGAAATTGCATGCCACCGCAAACTCATTCAGGACTGAAGGGAAGGTTGCCCCCGATCCAGTAGGTAATGCTCGGAATCTTGCTTTTACTATGCTTGTTGAGGGGCATAATTTGATGGGAAAATTTGCTTGTTATAGCATAGGTTTTGGATACAATTATGCAAGTTTTTAGAAGCGAATGGAAGTGATAGTAGTCAGGTTGTTTTGGATGGGTTTTAAATTGGTTGCCTAAACATGGTTTTAAAGGAATTGGAATGTTTAAGATATAATTACTAGTTTGAATGTGCAGCGATTGATGCTCCTGGGGGGTTTCTTTTTGAATGGTGGTCTGTCTTCTGGGATATTTTTATAGCAAGGACAAACGAGAAACATTCTGAAACTGCTGCAGCATATCTAGAGGTGGGTTTTGAATGTTAATGAGTGTTGTATGCCTGCCTGTTATAATGCATCTTCTGTTGATATTCTTTAGCTGGACTGTTGTATTGATGTGTAGACACAACAAAGTAAAACAAAGGAACAGCAACAGCTGCAAATGCAGCAGTTGCAACTAATTCGTCAAGCTCAGTTGCAACGAGGGGGTCCTAATAATCAAACTGTTGGTGGTCCGGTAAATTCTATTGGCACCGAAGGAATGCTGGGGCAACCAAACGCCAGTGCATTGGCTGCAAAAATTTACGAGGAACGTATGAAGCATTCCAACCTTATGGAGTCTGAAACATCGCAACCGCTTCTTGATGCTAGGATGGCCCTGCTCAAATCAACTACAAACCATCCAGGGTAAATTTCATTGTAGATGTTCTGTGACAGTTTTTTTACCACTTACTTGCATGCTGATTCTTTTGTGCTGACACAGCCAGTTGGTCCAAGGAAATCCTAGGAATGTTACTGCAGCACTGCAACAAATCCAGGGACGTACTCACCAGACTGCTGTAACTACTTAAACAACAAGAACTATATTTGCTGCGACTATGAGTTCTTCTTATTTGCTTTCACAATTTCAATGAGTGTTTGATTCATTTTTCAACAGGATGTCAAACCTGAAGCAAACCTGGGTGCTGCCCAGAGATCTTTGCCTATGGACCCTTCAACCATTTATGGACAGGGAATCATGCAGTCAAAACCTGGAATTGGAAATGCAGGTAAATATACTGGATCCTGTATTACAGAATTGAAACTCAATACGAGGACATAGAAACACATGCATTTACAAATTGATTTTCCCTTTATCCCTGTTCCTAAAAATTAGGCATCTGATTTTTAAGTATAAAGTCTTAGAGCTAATTTTGTCTTACATAAATCTTAACTAAAAGAAGGAACGAGAACTTCCCCTGCCCTTAAATTACTTTTCTAACTGATCCTATGAAACTCCTTGGTCTTTTGACAAAATCTCTATGCAGTTTACAACTAGTTAAAAAAATTTGGTAAAAAATAAAAAGAAACATAAGCATGTGAGTACCTGGCTACATACACTTCTGAATTATTATATTGAATACAGGTCCGTGCTGATGTCCCTTTATTTTGTACAGTCTGATATGTGGGACCGTTTTTCTACGTACTTGTTTCCAACCCGTTGGGACAAATATGTTGGCTCATCATCATTGTGCAGCTTTCTTTGAAGACCAGATCTTGCACAATAACAATCATCAAACATTTCTTGCATATCCAGTTGACAACCTTCTGTTATATCCAAATTTTTAATCCTATAAATTCCATAAATCTGATTCATTTCAAAATGTACAAATTGTAAACAGACTTCTTTATGATGTCATGTATATCAAAATAGATATGTCTTGTGGTTGATATAGATTTTGGATAACAAACAAAATGTATGCAGTGCATAGAGGAATGGGTATTTTGAATTGAAGAAAAAAGTTAGTATCTATTCACCATGGGTAAAACTAGTCTTCCCTCTTAACTTTTTTCTGGACAATCCAAGAAGAATTCTATTGTACTAATCCCCTTTAAGTTTATGTTTAGAATCTTTTTTTTTTTTTTTTTGAATTATTTTTAATTTGTGTTCAGGGTTGAATCCTGGGGTCAATGGTCTTCCATTAAAGGGATGGCCCTTAACTGTAAGTTCTATACTGGAGCTCATTTGTTCTGGAGATTTAATTTAAAATCCAGCTGCTTGTTCAAAATGTATGGTACTATTGAATATATAGGGAATTGAACAAATTCGACCGAGTTTGGGTGCACAAGTTCAAAGGCCTCTTTTACATGGGCCAAGTCAGTTTCAGCTTTTGCCACAGCAACAACAACAGCAGCTCTTGGCACAGGTCCAGGCACAAGGCAACCTTGCTGCTTCACCAATGTATGGAGATATGGACCCACGGAAGTTCAGGGGATTGCCTAGAGGTGCCTTGAACAACAAAGATGGCCAATCAAATGTAAATGATGGATCTATTGGGTCTCCAATGCAATCAACTTCATCTAAGGTAGGATTTTCTTCCTGAAAATAATCCAAAATTTGATGTTCTGTTCTCATTGGGTTATGAGTTTTTAATGCTCTTTGTGGTGGGTTTGTCTTAAACAGATGAATTTGCCACAGATGCAACAATCATCCTCTCAACAAGATCCTTTGCAACCACAGCAAGCACAGCAGGTTGTGTTTCCTTAAATGTACACAATGATCCACACCTTGTTTAACTTGGAACAAAATTGTTAACTTATTTGAGACCACATGCTTAAGTATCCACTCTCCTGCACTTACCCATGATCCATATTAACTAGTGGCAAGATGAATTTCCTTTTCTAAATATCCAATATAATATTATTGGTGAAGCTCTGACTAATGCTTATTTATGGTGTAATAGAGTAACCGAAAGAGGAAAGGCCCTTCATCTTCTGGACCTGCTAACAGTACCGGTACAGGAAATACAATAGGCCCTTCTAATTCTCAGCCATCAACTCCATCAACTCATACTCCTGGTGATGGAATTGCCACAGCTGGTAACTTGCAGCATGTCAATAGCATGCCAAAAGGCTTGATGTATGGTGGTGATGCAACTGGAGCTCTTGCATCATCCACAAACCCACTGGTATGCACTCTATACAAACTTACAAGCTGTGACAAGAATAATCTAAGAGATGTGAATGAAACATCAGGAATCTGCTGTTTGGAAGCCGCAAAAAACCCATACTGGTTTATGGATTGCAACTAAAGCTTTAGGACACAAAATTATATGTCCTGCCTTTGAGTAGTATTTGTAAATATAAGGTAGTTGACGGATTTATTATCCCAATATATGGTCACTAGATAATATTCCATGAAGGAAATTCGTCTAATTTTATCTTCACAATGATTCAATCATGATGTCCTTTGATGTTTCTGTTTGTTGAGTGAGGGGGGTCCATGTTGTGGTTGGTCCTGCTAGTGGAAAAATGGTCAAGTCTAGGGTTATCAGACTTTCTTGAATTGTTAAAAAAAATGCTCTTATTTTATATTTTTGTCCAATGAAATTGCTTGTCAAGTATTTTTATAAATCCTTTCTTGAGTTCTGAGCCTGTGTTGGTATGTTAATGGATTCTCTAGTCAATGTGAGTTATACTCTTTGTACTTTTAGTGGAATATTCCTCTTGGCATTGCCCAAAGTTGGTCCTGTCCATTGACTGTCTTTGGCTTTATATCTCTTTGCAGGAAGACATTGAGCATTTTGCAGATGTTGGCTCCTTAGATGATAATGTGGAATCGTTTTTATCACATGATGATGGAGATGGAAGGGATTTGTTCGGTGCTTTAAAAAGGAATTCTTCTGAACATGCTGCTGAAGCTTCAAAGGGTAAGCAATGTTTTTCAATTTCTTGCACTATTACTTTGTCCAAATTGACCCCAGCAATGCCTATTTTTTAACATCTCAGGTTTCAACTTCAGTGAAGTTAGTTCGATACGCAAAAGTAATGGGAAAGTTGTTTGCTGTCACTTCTCTACAGATGGGAAATTGTTGGCCAGTGCTGGGCATGACAAGAAGGTATAATGTGTTGCATTGTAGCCTGCGAGGGTTAATTCCATTTCCTGATTGCCATGTTTGGGCAATCTTGGATGATTGAACTTTTACTTCTGTTTGCTTGCATAGTTTTGAATGCTGAATTACCAATTAGTTAATGCATACCTCCACCAATGTGGAGGAATGTAAAGAGCTTATAATACCCATATTAATCCTGTTTGATTGCTACCCTAATACACTATTTGCCTGTACCTCGTTAAATAGACGATTAAAGTTGGTGTAGAAACCATTGCTTGCATTCCAAGGTTCAATTAACTAGTGCATGAAACTGATAGGATATTGCATTTGGAAGCTTTTAACTAAATCAATATTGTATAAGGATATATATCAAAATACAGCAATTTCTACAGCATTCTGTATGTACGTGATCATTTTTACGTATATGGCATCGTCATGTTTACGTTATCTGCTTCAGCTTTCTATTCTGCAATCAATTGATGGATAATGGATTAAACAGATTACCGCAATCATATAGAGTTAACAGTTGTATAGTGTGTGGGGTTATCCACTGTGTTGATACTTAGCAGGAACCTGTAATTGCTGTATTTCATTGTTCTTGCTGCTGCACGTGCTTGGCTAGTTTGTTATTCTTCGAATCTTGTTGTTGTTGTCATTGTTAGATGCTATGTTTTCTCTGTATGGTTCTGTTGGACCTGCACATGAAAAGCATGTCATTACTAAACCTGAAGAGCAAAGGCCTATATATAGATCTGATACAAGGAAGGGACCATGATTAATGTAGCTTACAGCAAGTTAACAAAAATCTCTTTGCTTGTTAAATAGGAAGTCAACACAACTAACCTTCTCAGGTTTAACCATCGATGCTAACCTCTTTTAGGTAGTTTAATTGCATTAATTAACTCCTTAATGTTTCAACACATTGACTTGGTATGTTCAAAGATGAGCGACTTTTCCAGTAAAATCACAATCTCTTGATATTTATTTGGGTAAGAAGGGTGATTTGGTAGGTTTTGAACAATGATGCACTCACCTTGAGATCTTAAGGAAGCTTGTGACCTTCTTTTATGTATCCTGGTACTCCCCCTTTTGTGCTAAAAGATTTTTGATATCTTGATGGACGAAATTGAGGTTGACCTTTTTAGAATAAAGCTTATTCCTTTTTAATCACTCTTATGGAAAAATAGTTATTCTTATATTTGGTTTTTTGGCGGATAAGAATACTTGCATTTGGTTTTGTTAATGATAACCGCATTTTGTGTACGTATTCATGGCCTTTTTTCTACTTTTAACTAGGCTCAGTTAATATCTTTTACGTCTATGATGCCATTCTTTCAGAAGCTGGAGAGCAAATGAGCTCTTCATATTAGCATGTGGTACTCATGGCTCGTAGCATGCACCTCTCTCTCTCTCTCTCTTTTCATTGAATGTGTTATGAACCACAGTTCATCTTCATTATTATAATTTGAGGGTGGGGAGAATTGGAACTTGGCACTTCAGCTTCTATACCTTCAGCGATATGAATCTTTAACCAGAGCTTCATTCATTATAAACCATGGTTTATAGTTCATGTTTGTTGGAGAAAGTGGAAGGATTTTGAGAATACAGTGAAGAAGGCGGACAAATGTAGAAGGGAGATGGTCCCTGAAAAAATGAAGACGAGAACTTTCTCTCAAAGTTAAAAATGTGACAATGAGAATGTCTGAAAATATTGAAGTATCTAGTCCTTAGAATACTTTGCATGTGCTACCTTCTTAGTTTTCAAAGTGATTTGTATTGTCAGCTTGGTGGTTTCATTTTCATTTGCTTTCATTTTTATTTATGTTTTTATTTTTTAAACTAAGAACTGAATGCCCAAACTGGGTAACCAAAATATGATGCTACACGGGGACATTTATGCATTTTCTATTACTGTATCCCATTACAGCAACTTAATGAAATATTAAAGGATAGGCTCACATAAATTATAAACTACCCTTTTTTTTTTTTTTATATATATATATTCTCATTAATAGAAATTGTAAAGTTTCAGGCGTACTATACTTGCAACAATTGAACTTGATAATCATTTTGGACATTTCAAAATGGAAAGGTGGACAAATAAACATACAACTAAGCCAGAATACAATCATTCCATCTTTTTTTTTAATCAGAAAAAGCAAATATGAACCATGAATATTGACATCTGGTTGATAAGAAGTGATTTGGATTTACCTGTTTTCACGTCAGTAGGTTGTTCTTTGGAACATGGAAACTCTGCAAACTGAGTGCACTCCTGAAGAGCATACCCACATTATTACCGATGTTCGTTTCAGGCCAAATTCAACTCAGCTGGCAACATCGTCTTTTGATACAAGTGTACGCCTCTGGGATGCTGTAGAAGTGAGTTTTCTACCTCCAATGTCTTTTCAAAAATCTTAAGAACAACATGAATCTCACCTTTATTCATTCTATTGAAAACAATTTTCAATTTTGATAGCCAGCTTTTGAAGTGTTATTTTATTACCTAGATCCATCTTATGTTACATTGAGGTTCTGTTAGGATTTTTTTTTAAATGTTTTGCATCTATTTGGTCTGTACGCTGCAGCTGCTTGTATTTTAATTTGCCAAATACATTTGGTATTTGAGTGTTGTCCCTTTGATCTTACTCGACATGAGTTTAGATCCTTCCTACATGTGATAGTTTGAGAAAGTTTGATATTCTGGCATCACTTCTCTTTTAGGTTGCTGCTTTTTTATGCCACAATTTATTCTGAACTTATGGGATAGCATCAGATCCTTTGAAAGACAAAAGCAATTGGCATCAGTCACTCTATCATGTAGTGTCAGGATTCTAAGCACTAAATGTGGTTTATCCTTGCAGCCAAGGTATTCCTTGCAGACATACACAGGGCATACCTCACACGTGATGTCCCTTGACTTCCACCCAAAGAAGAATGATCTTTTCTGCTCTTGTGATGGTAACAATGAGATTCGCTTCTGGAACATCAATCAGTATTCTTCCACCCGGATATCCAAGGCTAGCCATGAAGCTCCTTTATATTTTTTGTTTTGTTTTTGTTCTTGAAGTTCTAATGGATTTGAATTCTATTATATTTTAAATCTTGGTCATTTGATGGTGCAGGGAGGGACTGCACAAGTTAGATTTCAGCCAAGAATCGGACAACTGTTGGCTGCAGCTTCGGAAAATGTTGTGTCCATCTTTGATATTGAGACTGACAGACAAACACACTTGTTACAGGTATTGGTCTTAAACTTAAAAGCTGAGAAAACCGATAAAACTCCGTCTCATGTTTGTTATGTGATAGAGATGAATCTTTTTACTCTAGGGGCACTCCACAGAGGTACATTCTGTTTGTTGGGATGTAAATGGAGACTACTTGGCATCTGCCAGTCAAGAGTCAGTTAGAGTGTGGTCATTGGCCACAGGAGATTGCATTCATGAACTTAGTTCGAGTGGGAACAAGTTCCATTCTTGTGTTTTCCATCCAGGCTATTCCACTCTCTTGGTTATTGGAGGCTACCAGGTATATTTGCTTTTTGTATGGTGATGATATTAATGTTTAAGTTCTAATTGTGTTTTTATATGCCACTGAAACAAGCTGTTGCCTGACTTCAAGTTCCATTTTGTTTGAAACAAGTCAACCTTGTTTCATTTTTAGGAAACCTTCTGAGGATAAAAGATTTTTTTTAAAAAATTTTAATCCACCTTTTGTAACTCATAGGAAAGTCTTGTGCTTATTTTGAGAAACGAAGTATCTTATCTTTTTAACTTCAGGGGATTGTAATATCCATTTGTGGAGAACTTTTGGAGTTACAAATTTGATATTTGTTACTTATTTTTACTAACAAATTTCATTTTGATCTTATGTTATTTGCTTCTCCCCTGGTTGTAACCATTGTTCTAATTCAGTCACTGGAGCTCTGGAACATGGCGGAGAACAAGTGTATGACAGTTTCAGCTCACGAGTGTGTGATATCAGCTTTGGCTCAATCACAAGCTACAGGGATGGTTGCTTCTGCTAGTCATGACAAATGTGTGAAGATATGGAAATAAGCGTTGCCATTTGGCGCTTCCAATCCTCCAATATCAAGGCTGCCGGTCTTTCCATTGTCTGACATGGTCTTCCAGGAAAAAAAAAAATACATATATATTAAAGGATACATTAATTTGTTTTTGTTTTTTTATTTTTTCAAATTTTATTTATATGTAATAAGGGGATCTGAGGGTTCACTGGTCTGGACTAGCTGTTTGAGTGTGGAATTTGTTATGATCAGAACACAAATCACTTAGAATGAGTTATTGGAAGTATACTTGTGTTGCGAGGTCTCCCAGCATGCTGATGGTTGATATAAAGGGCATCTGAGTTTAAAGCTTTGTGATAGAACATTTCCTATGTGCGTTTATTCCCCAGTGAAGATTGTACTGTTAGAGCTAAGTATGTTGATTGAATGAATGAGGTTGGTTCATGATATCCTCTGCCTTGGATGACCTTCTTAAATGTGATATGTGTTGTCTCTACTGTAGAATTGGAAAAGAAAAAAACTTTATTCAATATTTTGTTGTTTTTACTGATCAAAGTAAACGAAATTTGCCGATTTTTCCCCCCATGTGTTTTGCTATAAGAAATTTGTACTTGGAGCTTATTTTGCAGGCAAAATATAAATCCTGGTAATTTAGTATCGCATTTAATGTCCTAATCAGAAGTAGTGGAAAACTAATACTCCAGTGATTGAATAAAATTAAGGTAATTGTTACTATCCAGCGTGCTGTTCAAGGCAATTTCTCTCCTACAGACAAATCCCGTACGCGACCATCTTTTTGGTCCGATCTCTAGTTTTTTGCCTCAATGAAATTCCGAGCAATGCTTATCTTTATGTAAGCAAATTATTAATTACAAGAAAGCAAAAGATGCGGGGTTTTTGAACAGATTCCTTCACATGCCAATGTAGATTACTGTAGCTGAGGATGGTATTTTTATAATTTTTAAACTATTTTTGGACATTTATATTCTAATTATACGCACTTTTCATTTTGGTCTCTAAAGTCTTAAAATGAAATATTTGATACCTTAAGCTGCTGCATTGGCCTGTCTGCTTCTTCTTTTTTTTTCTTTGGTTTTTTCCTTTACTTTTTTTTTTTTTTAATAATTGAATTGGGTGTGAAAATTATGAAAAATCTATTTTTATTTTTTTCTTGTCTTTTTGTTTTCTTTGGTTTTTTTTCCACTAATTTATGTTTTTGTTTATTGAATTGGATGTGAAAATTATATATAAAAAAATCAATTATTTTTTTTTACACAAGTCGACGATTATAAAATATATACGATATATTTTTAGATTTTAGAATGAACATCTATATAAGATTATATTACTCTTATTGTTTAAAATTGATCTCTTCAATTTAATTTTTCTTACAAAAATTATTATCAAATTAATTTTTATTCTTCTTTTTTATGTAATTTATTTTTTAATAAATATGATTTATTTTCTCTATGTATGGATTTTCAAATATATATATATATATATATATATATATATATATATATATATATATATATATTTTGCGGTTGTTTTTATTTGCTTATTTTTTATATGATCAAATTTTAAAATAGAATTCGCTTGTTTTGTTTACTCATTCTTTAAATAATCAAATGTTTTAGAAGAACAACCTAATAATTTAAATACAATTTTTTATACTAATATTATTCCTTATTTTGTAAATAAATATATATAATTCAAATGTACGTAATTTCAAAAAAAAAAATTCTTCTCATAAGTATTAAAAAAAAAAAGATTCATTTTTAAATTTTTATACAAGTTTTTATATTAATTTTTTTTTCAATATAATCTTATGAAAAAAAATTTTAAGATGTTTTTTTTTTAATTTTATATTAGGTTATTATGAGTTTTATTTAAGAATAAATGCATAAAAAAGAATAAATTTTGTCTTTTAACTACGAGATTTATTAAAAAAAATAAACAAAAAATACATAAAAATTTTTGACTAAAAATTATAAAGTTAATTTAATATAATTTTATTGATTAATAATTATATATTGTTAAATTGAAACAAATATATTTAATTTGATTCGGAGAATAGCATAGCTTTGGAAACCAACTAATATTCTTACTGAATTGACTTAACAAACAGCACCAGCCACTGTGTCTGTTTCTTGTCGCTGGCAACTTCATCGAAGCCAATTCCATTTTGTCAACCACTTCAAAAGGAAGATAAATGAGATATTGTGATTTGAAAACGCAAGAGGAGAATAAAAGAAGAACACACAAATTACCTCATTTTGAGTTTATTCTTTCTGGTTTGTGTGTTACTACTGATCAGAGATTAAAGAAGCCCGTAATAAGGGGTTGGTAAATAATACTTGATTAATGGCTTGTCCAACGACACCGTTTCCTTGGCATTAGCCGGATTTTATCACTTTAGAGCTGCTATGTAGTACTTTTTTTTTTCTTTTTTTTTTTCCATTTTTACTTTTAACGTTATTTTTTTTTCTGGATGAGATCACTATTTTGTATGTTCCCATGAGGCATCAATCTAGTCATTAAAAATTGGATATCAACTCAATACAATCAATAATTTGTAAATGTTGATAAAAAATTAGCCTAGTCATCAAAATTAGGATGCTGAATTTAAATCTTATCACCCCCCAATCATCCAAAACAGTTATTTGTATCAATTGAATTTCAAGTTCAGCAAGTGGATCAAAATTTCACATTCTGGTAAATTATTTTCGATAGAATGCTTAACCACAATTAGAACAAAATTGAAATAACATTGTGATGATATCTAAGCTAAAACAAAAAGTATGACCCAAGAAAAAGAAAAAAAGAAAAAAAGAAAAAAGAAAGAAAAAGACCAACCAAGCCCATAATTTGACCAGCAATCTAGCGACTTGGGGATGCGGCGTCGGCGTTGAATTCGTTTCTTTACCAACTGATATGGTTTGATTTTCCTTTTCGCTTTCCTTTTCGTTTTCTTTTTTTACAAGAAAAGCCACCCAAAATACGCATAGCACAACTCATTACATAGCTTTATAAAGAAAGGCACATCCTCGTACTCGTGTCTCCTTTTCCTTTCTGCATATCTCTCTGTCTCTTTTAAATTGAGAAATATGGAATCAACAAAAAACAAAACCTCATCAACAGAAACAGAAGAACCGAAAATGCAATGCCAAAACGATAATAACGATAAAATTCCGTCACCAAAACATCATCAACAAGGGGAAGAAGGTTATGCCCAGGAAGAAGAAGAGGATTTCCTTAACGAGTTTCAGTGCTCTGTTTGCCTGTAAGTCCAGCTCTATTTTTCGGTGTAAAAATTCGATTTGCTTTTTTCAAAGTTGATTGAGCATGCTTTTCCGTGTTGACAGTTACCCTTTCGTTATGCTTAAAGGTTTCTTCTGTTGCTGTTGGATTAGTTTGGTAAAAGTGTTTTATTTTGTTTTAAATAGCAAAGGAGAAAAGGGGGTTCTTGATATTGGGTGGTAATGGAACAAAGTTATAATTTGCTGTAATGTGCGAAAAAGAAACCAAATTTTCAGTGTTTAACAGAAGAATAGCTTGACCCAATTTGCTACACTAGAAAAAAAGAAGAGAGAGAGAGAGAGAGAGAGAGAGAGAGAGAGAGAGAGAGAGAGGTCACATTGCAAGATTTTATGTTTGTTTCGATTTTGTGTTTCTCCTTTCTGCCTCAATTGGTCATTAATTGTATTGGACTGCTATTGCATGCTCAAAAGATTTATAATTAAGATCTTATGGAGCTTTTCCAATTAAATTTATGATAAAGGTCAAAGTAAGATGGACTTCCTTTGTTTTTAATTTGGATTTAGCTTCTGTAATGTATAAGGTAACAAGTTAGTTGTTTTGGTTTCTCTATATACACGGCCTCGAACCATGAGAACTATGCAAATTAAGAAATATAAATGAGGAATCTGAGGGAGTTAACACGCATGATTGTTTATAGTAATGCTCACTTATACATCTTAAATGATCCGATGGCAAATTCAGCAGTAACATGACTGGCATTGAATTTTTGTCTGCTTGTTCCAACTCATCATTTAAAGAAACTGGGTTGTCAGAATCATTTTTTGATATTTAATCAACATCGTTTGAGTTACACTATGCACTGATGATGCCTAATACTGACAATATGCACTCAAGTATTTCATTTTTGGAGTGTGAAATTAGTTTACAATGGAGTGGTTTCAGGAAGTGTGTGGACATAATGTAAATGTCCAGCTTCCTCCAATGGTAATATTGATCATTTGTAGAAACTTCTTATATAGAAAAATTAGCAAGTTCGCTTAAGGATGCAACACATTCATTTCCAACTGTTTTTGATATTCATGCGAACAATTTGAAGATAATTAACCTTTATTTGCACAAAAAAAGAAAGAAAAGAAGGTAGAATTCTGCAGGCTTTATGCACTTTTTTTTTATAGTAATTAATCCTTGTTATAATATTGATTATATTTTGGCATGTATGTTTAAAGAAGCATATGAACAACTAATCTGAACTTCTAGAGGCATGTTTTATTTCCTATGCTTGCATGTAAAAATGGGAGGTTCATGTTAATGACTTAAATTACAGCTTTGCAGACTTGATGCCCCTGATAATTATTAAATAAGCAAAAATTCGATCCAATCAATTCTTCTCTAGTGCATGACATGTTTAAAGGGAGTTTCTTTTATGTTACAGGGACCTACTTTACAAGCCAGTTGTTTTAGGTAAGGAGGCAAAACATTCAAGTTTATACTCAGTGTGTGTAATCTTATCTTTATGAGGCCCTTTCTTTTTCTTTTTTTTTTTTTTGTTTTTTTGTAGCATGTGGCCACCTTTCATGCTTCTGGTGTGTCTATCACAGCATGAATAAGTTGCATGAGTCACAATGTCCAATTTGTCGTCACCCATTTAATCATTTCCCAAGTGTGTGCCAATTGCTGCATTTCTTGCTTATGAAGATGTACCCTACAGCCTATAAGACAAGGGAAAGAGCAGTGGGAGGTAAATATCTTTCATATCCTTTTCTTTTTTTTCTTTTTACCACTTGGATTTCTAATTTTGATTATTAGGTAATTGCTCCTTGGACATTCCCTTTCATTTTATTAGGTACCTTGGACATTCCATTGATCACACTCAAGTGCATCCCTTAATAACACCACCACAATGTTGAACCTCTGAGTGGTTTGACTCATAGTAGTACTCTGAATAATAATATCATTTGAAACAGATTGATGCTACATTTTCTTATTTGCTTGTGCAGAAGAAGAAAAGAAAGTTGGCCACTTCTCGCCACAGTTTGCTCATCATTCATTTGCATCAGATCCTGGTGAAGAGCTATATGTCTCAAGCAATTCTCTGCATTTCCCCACACATCCACAAACCAAGTTGTGTTGTGATAGTTGTCCTTCCGAGGAAAAGGAATCTTCCTCTTTAGGAAATTTTCCAGAAGCAATGGAACATAGTAAGGATAATAGGAAAATTTTGCCTTCAACACCATTAAGTAGATATGAAGGCACTGAGAATGCAGCCATTGAAAATTGCAACTTGATTAGGACAGGGCTTGGACATGGAATTCAGAAGCAGGCCTCTGTTGCTGACTTGCTGTGTGCTGAATGCAAGAAACTGCTGTTTCGACCGGTGGTTCTTAATTGTGGCCATGGTAATCTCTAATAAGCTGCATTTACTCAGCTAAAACAGAAGAAATAAGGCAACACTATCAATCACTTAATCTAATTTTGTCTTTGTGCAGTGTATTGTGAATCCTGTATCATTGTCCCAATGCAGGGAATTCCTAGGTGTCAAATTTGTCGAAGTTTGCATCCAAATGGGTTCCCGAGTGTTTGTTTAGTTCTAGAGCATTTTTTGGAGGAGCAGTTTTCTGAAATATATGCAGAGAGACGAAAAGGTTTGCCCAAACTAACTGACTGTCAGTATCAAAACCTTTAACTTGTATCTGGTTATTTGCTTCTGTTAGCCTCTGGGCTTCGTTTCCAAATTTGAAAGTGAGTTATTAAAGTAACTTTCATGGAATATAAATTTTTCTATGAAGTTAAACCATTCCTTTTTGTGGGTGTCGCTACACGACGTCGGATAAAAAATAAAAAAGTAAAAATAAAATAAATAAAAAATAAATAAAAATAAAAAATAAAAAATAAGAAAAATTTGGGTTATTACAGTGGGCGTAAAATTTAAGCAAATTAGCCTCTTAATAGATCAAAGAAGAAAAAAGTTCTGGGTCAATTAGGAAAAAACTGTAAATGTCCTTTTAACAAAATGATAGTGATGATAGGTTCTCTAGGCTAAAATGAGAATAAAGGAAAAGAAATTATGAGAAAATGCATCTAAAGATATTAGATTGAGGTTCACAAAATCATTCTAAGAATGCCCAAAGATAAGCTAAAACTCAAAAATTTCATCTGGCAATATAAAACAAACAATGCAGTTTTGTAGAGTGTATTATTTGTTGGTCAGCTTAATCAAATGCATTATTTTGCATATATTCTAGAATGCAAAACAAGCATCTCTTGCTTTTTTTCAGAATTTTTCATATGATGTTTGATATGATCAGTTTGGAACATTATTCATGCTTAGGCTACATATGTTTGAATGCTTTTTTTTTTTTTTTTTATCTTTGAAATGGGACTGAAGAATGAACCATATAGCGTAAGTCAAACCAATCATTCTCTATCTATCCAATTTTGTCAATTTGGTTTGTTGTTATTATTATTATTATTTTTTAATTCTTAAGGTGAAGACAGCTTTCTTGCGGAAAAAAAGGAATAGATCTATGATTGAGCTTTTCATTAAATTCATGTCTGTATTTCTATATAAGAACCATAAGCAAGGTGATGGTCATCAAATGAATAGTAGTTGAATTTTGAACCAACTCTGGCATGTAATGTGATAAAGGTGTACATCCTTTACCAATTACCTCGCGTTTCTGACTTACTTCTTTTTTCCTTGTATTGTCCTTTTAGAATCAATTTACTTTTGATAGGTTCAGTCTTTGGGGGTTGTCTGTTCGAATTGTCTCAGCCTTTTTTTTTTCCCTCAATTTTCTCCTACATTGGTATTGCTTAGGCATTCTAAAAAAGAACTTCAATCTGTTTATTTCCTTGATTTGTCACTTATTTTTCTCTCAATATCCTCATGATATTCTTGGGTATTGTGTGTCTGCAAGTGCGTTGTGTCTCCACATAGATGAGTTCTTCAGCTGCATGCTTGCTTGGAAAATTTTGTGTGGGGCTTTCTTGCTTATTCTAGCATGGAAAGCTAAGAGCATGATTGTTTTGTAATTGCGGAACGCATGAAAGACTCCAATAGCTCACTTGCACACATTTGGACAGATGATGTTAGTGTGTTCACAGTAGTAGGGCAATCTTAGAGAGAAATAGTTTATTGCACCTAAAATGGTTGCACAATTACTCTTTTCTAAACTTAAAGCATCCTTCTGTACAAGTCAGTCAATCAGGAAAGAAAAGGACTAATTGAAGCCAAACCATGTAAAATTAACTTTGCAACAAGTCTAACCCTACCATTTTCAGATTTTCCCAGAATGTCAATGGGCTTCTAATCTATCCATTTAGATCTCAAAAAATTTATGCAAACACCTGCAAATTTTGATTTGGGCCCTCGCACATTTGTGTGCCTAACACTTGTTTGCATGAGCATGTGTTGGTTGTTGATCCTTCTTGAATATGTTCACATTTTTATGTGTTCTTATGTTGCAATTTCCATAATTATGTGTGTGCCTTTTGGTTTGAATGTACCTTGACTTCAGGTTCAACACAAGCTCAACAACTAGCTAGACGGTCACCATCAGTACCTACTAATGTTTATTCATCGTGGATATTTGGCAATGGACCCAAGGTTCACATTGGAGTTGGTTGTGATTCTTGTGGGGTAATGTTGTTAATTTTTCCCTTTTTCTATCATGTTTGATAATTGCAGAAGTAGCATATAATTTATGCATGAACAAAATTCAATCTCAAATGCATAATTTCCTTTTGAAGGCTTATCGCTTCTATTGAATGCATCCTCGGAATTGGGATGACATCTTCTTACTTGTTACCATATCTATTCTTGGAACTTCCCTTACTGTGCCTACACTTGTGCTTATTCTTGTCGATTTCTCAACAAAAATGAATTCCCTTCACCAAAATCTCTTGTTAGACTTGCTATTCTTATTAGAGGAATGTAGAAATTTTATTTAGGCTACAATGCGAACCTTACTGTCATCCTAAAATGGGTTTTTGTTACTTTGTTCAATGAAAGTTGGTAAATATTCATATTAAGTACATCGAATACTCATGGGTAGTTTCAGTTATCTTTACAATATATATTGAACTAACACACTGCTAATGAAAACAGTCTAGCACATGTCATTTTCTTTATGGTAGAACTATTTGAATGAATTAGAAAGCTTTGAACTTTCATAACAGATGTTGCCAATAATTGGGGAGAGGTACAAATGCAAAGACTGTTGGGAGGAAATAGGGTATGATGTATGTGAAACATGCCACAACAATCCTTCTGAAGTGTCAGGTCGATTTAATCAGCGGCATAAACCAGAGCACAATTTTAAGATTGTGCAGCCTCAGAGCATTTCTGAATTTATGCACATGCTGAACCTTGATCAGTCTGATGACTCAGATGTTCCAGAAGATGATGATGAGCATGATTTTCTTCTTCCAGTCTTGTCAGATGATGTTCTCCTGGATGCAGAAGATGGTTCTAATGATGTGGTGGATGTTTCTACTTTGGTTTTGTCAGTTGAAACTGCGCCAGATCAAGGAGATGCTCCTAATGTCTCCCAGATCAGCTTGGACTAGAGAAAATTGACAAGGTAACACAACCAACGCATTCTGTAACCTTTCAATTTCCTAATGGTTGTGTTGTACGTTGATCTGCTTTTGAAATTTTGAGAAATCTGAATTGTTTCCATCACCTTCCATTGAATGCAGATGCCTAAACCATCAAATTTAATGCAAAAAGGTTTGGTTTTTGGACTGTCTTGAAGATGGAACTCACAAATTTCGCATCCCCACAAGTCCCATACATGGCAACAAGCTTCGAATTCAAAGACAACTCATTCAAAATAAATCTGGGTAGTTACTAGAGTTGTTAATATGTAGAATTGTCTTTCTTTCATATATTCTAATAATATATATGCAAGATACAAGGACCTATATATGATAAATAGATCACACATACAGCTGTGTGTATATTCCTAATTTAAGAGGAAACTATATAAGAAATATACAGAATAAGAAATAGGAAAGAATACAGCTCATTCACGCTAACTCTTCCCCTTAAGTTGGGCATGTGTGGTTGGGGCGTAGATATCACACATGCCGAACTTGGATAGCGAAGTATAGAATGGCCCACTAGTGATAGCATGAGTCATAATGTCAGCCAAGCTGATCTGAATTTTTGGTATAAGGAATCTTTATTGTGCCAGAATTATCTTTGATATAGTTCTCGTCAAGTTCAACATGCGTAGTTCGATCATGTTGTATTGGATTATTAGCAATCTCAATAGCTGTTTTGTTATCACAAAACAACATAATAGACTTCTTTGGACCAAACCCGAGTTCCTCTAAGAGAATTTTCAACCAAGAAAGTTTAGTGATCGCATGATGCATAGCACGATATTCGGCTTTTGCACTAGATAATGAAACAACATTCTGTTTTTTACTTCTTAAACTCACTAAGCTGCCTCCAACAAATGACAAATATCCGGAATTAGATTTTCTATCCATTCTACTGCTAGCAAAATTAGAGTCCGTATAACCTACAACATCAAGATGTCCATGTTTGGAGAATAAAACACCTTTACACGGAGTTGATTTTAAATAATCTAGAATTCAATTCATAGCATTCATGTTTTGATCATTGGATTATGCATAAAATGACCTACAACGCCGATTGCATATGCTAAATTCGATCTTGTGTGAGTTAAATAGATCAACTTTTCCACTTATCCTTTGATATCTCTCATTGTTTGTTGGAATTTGATCGGAATAAATAACCGAGGCCATGATTTATCTCAATAGGAATATCTATAGGCTCACGAGACAAAGTTACTAGTTTCAACTAGGAGATCCGAGTATACTTCCTTTAGGAAAGAAACAAGCCTTGCTTAGAGCGAGAGACTTCAATGCCTAGGAAGTATTTGAGAAGCCCCAAATCCTTTATCTTGAACTCTTTGGTCAAATAGTTTCAAAGTTTCTCAATCTCATTTTTGTTATTAGATGTTACAATCATATTATCAACATAAACAAGAACTAATATCATTATGATCATATTTATAGAACAAGGTACGATCCGTCGAGGCTTGCTTGAATTCGTACTCCTTCATTGCATGACTCAATCTCCCAAACCATGCCATTGGTGATTGCTTTAATCCATATAATGTCTTTTTTAGTTTGCATACCTTTCCTTCTTTCAATGTAAATCCCGAGGGTGGATCCATAAATACTTCCTCTATTAAATCATTAAGAAGGAAAGCATTCTTTACATCAAGTCATCATAAAGACCAATCCAAATTAATTGTAAATGATACTTATGACGCGAATAATATGATGCGGATAATATTCATATTGGCAATCTGGTGCAAAATTCTCATGATAGTCAATACTATAAGTTTGGGTATAGCCTTTTGCAACTAGCCTACCCTTATGTCTTTGCATTGTCCCATCTAGCTTGTATTTGATAGTGTATACCCATTTGCACCCCATAGTCTTCTTTCCCATAAGTAACTCGACCATTTTCCAAGTAGAATTCTTTTGAAGAGCTATCATTTCTTCTACCATTGCATCTTCCACTTAGGATTTTCAAGGGCTTTCGAAAATGACTAAGAATGGGTACGGAAAACAAGCTGAATGGCAAATAAGTTAGTTTTAAACAAATGGTGATAAGATATTAAGTCGGAGATTGGGTAAACAACATTGGAGGTTTTTGAGAAATCGAATCTATCAATTGCTTTTCTTTCACAAAGAGGGTATCTCTTATTCGATTAATATTAGAATTTAGATTGGAATTTTACGGAGATTCGGAAGAAGAGGTACATATCTCAATATCAATCCTAGAAGATTCATCCGATAGCATGGTAGTATCATCGAGGGAGGTACTAGAATTAACATGCGGAATATTGATATCTTCCTTTTTCTTAGAATATCCCTTCTCGAAGAAATAAGTCTGGTCTCTCAAGTCTCTCATCATTCGTTTCAATTTTATTTTCTTTAATAGATGGATCATTTAAAACTAAGGATTCCCTATTTGCCTTAATGTTATTTGTACTCGAGGTCCATATATGCTTTTCTCCCAACCAGGTGTTGTTTCTCTTCTTTACTACGAATCTCCCTTTGAAGAGGAATCATAGATATATCGTTATAAAAATAAGACTCATTTTCACATAATTGAACATTCATTGACTCATAATAGGTTCCTATATGAGGATGAAAACATTTGTATCCTTTTTATGAATTAGAATAACAAAGAAAAACACATTTGATAGCATGAGGATCAAGTTTATCTCTATGAAGAGAATGAACATGAACATAACATACACAACAAAAAATCTTAAGATAAATATTAAGAGTATATGGAATAGGATGAAATCTAGATAACATCCTTAAAGGAGTTTGAAAATCAAGAATCCTAGCAGGCATTCGATTGATAAGAAAAACAACAATCATGGCAACTTCGACCTAAAAACACTTTAGAACATGCATAGTAAAACATAAGGCTTGAGCCACTTTTAAGGATATAACAATTCTTACGTTCGTTATGCCATTTTATTAGGGTGTGTAAACACAAGTTATTTGGGAAAGAATATCATGTTGTGTCATAAACTTAGCGAGAAGATTGATTCAAAAACTCACAACCATTGTCATAGTGAAAAATTTTAATTTTAGTGCTAAATCGAGTGAGAATCATATTGTAAAGCCGAGGAATAATGTGAAAAATATCACTCTTAAATTTCATCAAATATACCTAGTTGATCCTAGTACGGTCATCAATAAAAGAGATAAAATATTTATGTCTTGAAGCGAAAGAGTGAAAAGACCCTACACATAACTATGAACACATGAAAAAGGAATAATGCTTTTATTAAAACCGACTTTAAAAGGAACATGATGTTTTTTACATAGATGCATTGCCTATATTTTAAACTAGAAACATAAATTTTGTAAAACAATTGAGGAAACAATCGTTCTAAATAAGAGAAAGATAGATGTCTCAATCGACAATGCCGAAGCATAATTCTCTCTCTATCGATTTTTCTCTTTTTGTTTGGAAGTCACGAGTAGGCGCTACTATGCCTCAATTGTCCTCCAAATAATACAAACCATCCCTCTTCTTACCAATGGCGGTCGTCAACTTCGTAAGATTGTCCCGAAATACACGATGAATAGAGTGAAAAATGACGGAACAATTGAGATTCTTTGTTTTCTTGCTAATGGAAAGAAGGCTATTTGAAAGTCTAGGTGCAAGTAGAACGAGAGAAAATGGAAAATGTTCAAGAAAAAGACACATTTTCAACCACTTGTGATCGGTATAAAGTTCTCATTAGCAACATGTACGGACTTAATTGATGAAGATGTTAGAGAATAAAAAATAGAAGAGTTATTAGTCATTTGATCAATAGCCCCCGGATCTATAATCCAAGTATTAGGACAATTAGAAATAATGGATAAACCAAAATTACTTTCTTGGGAAGATGTTCGAGATACATGAGAAGTAGAAGATGGAGTAGTAGTTATGGCGGTAGCATTTTGAGTAGAAATTTTATTTTTCCTCTTAACTTACTTGAGTTTAGACCATTTAGGATAGGCTGTGCTTCTTTCAACAAACATCAGTTGTATGTGTACTCTTATGATAGTGGGTGCAAAATCGAGATTGAGAAGCTATAGAAGTGCTCTTTTGGATAATTAGAGTCGAAGCTTCGAGTGGATTTCCGCCCTATGGTAACCTATTGTTGAACTTCTTGATGAACCAAGAAGTAGGTTCTTCTAATCTTAGCACAAAAGAAGTAGCTAGAGCATGACTACTAACTTGATCTAATTATGATCAAGGCCAACAAGAAAGATATAGACCATGTCTTTTATCTTACATTAGCTATATTTTTCAATATTAGCAACACATGTCATATCATTTAGCCTTCGGTAATCAATCTCCATAAAAATTAAGTTTAATTCATTGTAATATCCTGCTAGAGGCTAGCCATCTTGACGTGAATGGAAAGATTATCGCTCATTGAATTAATGAGCCAAGATTTGACAAGTGCATCTTCGACCTATCTTTCATCATAGCTTGGATCATCTTCTGCTGGTGCAACTTTTTTTCCGTTTATATAGCCCTTCTTTTTTCCTTCCAACAATATGCATCTCCAAGATCTTAGACCGGACTCGATAGTTAGCATCATCCAATTTAATAGGGATGGAAGAAGGAGCATCGTGGCTGGTTATAGTGGAGGTTTTCCTGCTGTCGGTATTTGCAACCTCGGGTTTGGTAAACATACTATGGTGCGGCTAGTGTTTTAGGGAATAAAGGAGCAACGACGGCTAGGGTTTTTGAAGAAGAAGAAAGGAGCAATCGAAGCTAGGGTTTTGAAAAAATTATACGACAAGGCTTTGATACTAAGTTGTTAATATGCGAAATTATATTTTTTTTCATATATGCTAATGATATTTATATACAAGATACAAAGACCTATATATGATAAATAGATCATATATATAGCTGTGTGTATATTTTTAATTTAAAAAAAAACTATATATAAAATATACAGAGTATGAAATAGGAAAGAATATAGCTCAACCCAGCT